AAACCAGTGGTAGCAGTTGACATCTGAGTCGGATGACCCCCTGTATTACTTGGGATAAATTCAGGGGGTACCTCTTGAGTTAATAGCCAACAAACATTGGCGAATCAAAAGGTTCAGCCGACCTCCGCCGCCTGGTACCTTTACTACTCAAGCAGGAGTGACGGCGACTGAGTAACACCAAAGTCAACTCATAGGCACTCCCTCAAACTTGGTATGGAACCTAAAAGGTTTTAGTAGACCGCCTGTTTTTTGGCAAACAGAGGCACTCAAACCCCTATTCCTACTAGGTAACCACTCCTTGGGCTAATAGCCAACAAACATTGGCGAATCAAGGGGATCAGCCGGCCTCCGCCGTCTGGTACCTCTACTACTCAAGCTAGAGAGTGACGGAGACTGAGTAACTCCCATGTTAACTCATAGTCACTCTCTCAAACTTAGTATGGAGCCTAAAAGGTATAAGTCGCCCGCCTGTTTTTAGCAAACAGGGGCTCTCAACCACTACTCCTGCTAGGTTAACAACCTTTGAGTTAATAGCCAAGAAAAACTTGGCGAATCAAGGGGACTATCCGCCCCCTGCCGCCTGGTTTCCCTACCACTCAAACAAAATAGGCAGTGATTGACTAACCGCAAGGTTAACCAGTCGCCCTCCTTAGTACGGAACCTAAAAGGTATGAGGAGTCCGCCTGTTTTTTGGTAAACAGAGGTACTCGACCACTATTCTTACTAGGTTGGCTATACTTAAAGCTGTCGTCTGTAATCCAACAGGCGTAGCTACTTTGGTTAGACGTCCTGTCTGACGCCTGCTTCTCTGCAGCCACCAAAGCAGACGACCAACCATCCCCCAACGAAATAAACTAACTACCAAACTTAGTATATTAAATAAAAAGAGGTCAATGGCCGAATAATGCTAAACGCTTACCCCTTATGTAATAGTTGACAGTCCACCTGATCAGGGGCTATTTGCATAGTGGGACAAAGAATCGGCATCTGTCTAGTTCGGCGGCAATCATTATTATGATTGATTAACTTTGAAAATGTCATACCGCCCAAGGTATCAAAATTTTCTAAGTTAATCAAGTCCATCTCCCATTAGAACTAGACAAGATGCCGACCTAGCAAAGCTTCGAGGGTCTAACTTTCAAAAGGAGCAATCCCTCCTGGAAAGAGTAATTACTCCTTCCGAGGGGCAAATGTTTAGGGTAAAAATTACCCATGACAAATGGACCAATCCGGACATGCCACGTGTCCACCACGTGGACCAATCAGCGTCCGCCATTTGTCACCCTAAGAGGTCCAACATGGACTAATCAGGCCACGCCACGTGGCCTCCCATATGCCAAATAGGCAAAAATGGCCACCAAGGCCCAAAGTCCGAGAGAAGCCCAATTTGCCCTGGTTAACCTAAACCTAGGATTGGCACGCTTCTCAAGACTATAAATACTTAATTAATCCTCATTAAAGGGGATTCAGCAATTGATGACTCTCACATAGAGAAGTCTAAACACATTGATCACTCCTCCCCTAGAGGAACCAGATCTCCCACCTTTACTTTCCGCATTTATTACTCCTCAAACAAGTACTAACTTGACCGTTGGAGGCGGAGCTCCCACCACAAGGAGTCTCCGTTGTTTTTCAGGTATAGGCGCAAGGATACCAGTCCCGGAATTGTAACTCTTCCGCAGGACATCAGAAAACCCCGAAACACCTACCAACACATTTTTTACTTTGGCCGGCTGGGCGACCTCTATTATTTCCTTAGAGAAGGCGGAGGGCTATTCTCCAAGTTTGAGCAACCTAAGTTGCTAGTCCAAAGGCTAGACATTCCTAGCCGCCTGTCCTCCAAAAAGAGTAGGCTGCATGAAATATTGGGACTGCGGAACGTATGGTTGAGGAGGCACAAACGGGGTCGCATGATGTTTCAGGGAATCAAAACGAGAGGAGGCTCCAAGCGTCTGTCTCTCATAATTTGATTTTGAATACCTTAGGGAGGTAATATGCAGGTTGTTTTGAAAATCAGACGTAGAGGGCGACTCAGACAGTCGGTCATTCTTCTTCTACTTGAGCAACATTTGAGCATCAAAGTATGTTTTCTTTAACCCGTCCGGCTTAACAAAACGGATGGGTTTCCTCTTCCCCGGCGAGGGGAAGCGGTACTTAGTCAGGTCTACCATTGGCGCCTCCCTCTCCCTAGGCTTAGGGTAAGGAGTCGCCTCCCGATACTTTACAGGCTTCTTCCTCCAAGATTAGGAGGGTCTTCTGGCCGATTGTTCCTTTGGTGGAATAGGCGTCCTCTTTTACATAAGTGCCTGGATCTCCCCTTTGAAACTATTCATGAAGGTCATGAGTTAGTTTTGGGTAATGGGGGAAGATCCCTCGGCCACTGGTTGATGATCAAGCGGCTGGCCGGCTGGTTTACTAGATCCAGCTAGGCAGTCCTCCCGTTCCCTCCTTTCGGTGGGACGGGTGGGTCGAGCTCTTAAGGTCCCGTTAGAGGTCGTATGAGTCTCGACTTCAATTTCATTGTCGGTATCCTGGTCCGTCTAAACAGGGGGTCGTCTATGAGACGCTTCTCACTTAGAATCGGTACAGACTGTGATTCCATCTCGAAAGTACTCTCCCCATAGACGACACCACAATGTTTCGGGGTTTTTTGATGTCCTGCGGGAGAGTTAAAATTCCGGGACTGGGATCCTTGCGCTTGTACCTGCAAAACAACGGAGACTCCGGGTGATGGGAGCTCCGCCTCTGACGATCAAGTTAGTACTTGTAGGTGGAGTGAAAAGGTGCGGAAAGTAAGAATGATCAGGAAGTGCAAACAATGCAAAGTTTGGTCTAGCGATTAGTATGCACGTGTGTTTAGGGTTCTCTTAGTGAGGTGATTAAGTAAGCATCAGGAATGATCTGTTTAATGAAGGCTAACTACTGTATTTATAGCCTCGAAGTACGTGCCCAATACTAGGTTAAATGGTAAACCTAGGACTGATTGGGCTTGCCTCGGGATTCAGGCCCAGTTGGTCGTTTTGCAGGTTGGCTGATAGTGGGCCACGTGGCGTGGCGCGATTGATCCATGCTGGATCTCTTAGAGCATGACACGTGGCAGCCCCTGAATGGTCCACGTGGCTAACACGTGGCAGGTGCTGAATGGTCCACGTGGCGGAGAAAAATCCCCTAAACACAATCAAACATAATAAATCATTCAAACAATCAAGCACACGAATTTAATTCTTGAATAATTAGAGACCACATAAATTTAATGTTGAACTCTTTTTAAACTATCACGACCTTAAATATCATCTTAACTGTATAAAGCACCGCAAATCCTATCCCTTGGTGTTTAGAACACCTTAAGTCCACTTAGACACCGCAATACATTTTATTCTTGTGTACTAAGACACTAAATAGCTCAATTCCCATGCTTAAAGCAATAATAAAAATTATATGAAACATAATAAAATTTCATTTTTATATCCCAAACCAAATTAAACGTTTAGTTTAATTAAACATGCTTTCAATCATGTCAATAATAAAAGTGTGGCTCTTATTTAACATGCCAACATAATTAATTCCAATCATTTATTGACCACAAATAATTCATACTTCACAAATCAATCACCAATATCAATCCAATCAACAATTCCAGCCAATACCTATCATGATACTACCTTCGAATTAATTAAAAAAATCCTATCATGGTTCTATACACTTAAATAATTACCGAGTACGCAAATGTACCTCGAATATGATCTCAAAATCGCCACGACTACACGAAATCACTCACTTGGAAATCTCCTACAACCCAAAATTACAAAGAGACATTAATACATATTCAATATAAATTTCCAGCTATGTATACACTCTTTAAATCACTTATAAACCATCTAAAAGAAACTGAAATTTTAATTTAAAACCCCTACTTGTATTCCCAATTAATGGGTAATTAAAAATCCATTTAAGAAAAAAAATTCTAACCTTATAAAAATTTCAGCTTTATAAAAACATGTAAAATTGTTGTAATTATGTTTATAAACACCTATTTCAATAATTCCAACCAACTACAATTAATTTGCATCAATATAAATTAATTTAGATACAAAGGGTTTTCAATTTGGGGCTTTTTAATTCAAAAACTAAATCTAAAAATTATATATATACTAATCATAATCAAACATCATAAAATCATCACAAAACTCAAAAATAATAACTGAATCAAGCTTAGAATAAAAATTAAAACAAGAAGAGTTTTAATTTAATATTTATTTTTTTATTTTTGTTATTTTATAAAACCGCACCACACGACGGGGAGGGGGGCTTATGCCGCCCTCCACGACGGCGACTGCTGGCCAGAGGGAAGCGGTAGTGGCGGCTGGCCACCTTGTGTTTGTGTGTTGTGTGTAAAAATAAAGGGGAAAGGGAAAAAATAAGGGAGAGAAAATAAGAGGAGAGAGAGAGAGTTTACCTTTGGGTATTCTTCACCTTGGGCAAGATCTAACTTGCTCATAAGATGGGTATTTATACCGCCTCTGAAAACCCTCCTAACCTTAAATTTCCTTTCTACCCTTAATGATCCCTTCTCATATTCAAACTACTCATTTGACTTCCTTTAAAATTCCATTGACTTTAAAACTTTCTTTTATAAAATAATATGCCCCAAGGTTTCATAATAATATAATAAAATATTTTCAAAGTAAATAAATAAATGAAAATGGACCTTTTTGAATTAAAATAAACCTCTTAAAATTAATAAAATAGCCTAAATAATACATTTTGAATTATTTAAATACTTCATAAAATAATGATTTAGATTAAAATACATATAAAAATACGGGGTATTACAGTCTACCCCCTTTAAAAGAAGTTTCATCCTGAAACTTGGGTAACAAAAATAGAACTTTTTCCACACTTTGTACTATATTTTTGTACTCTTTTGACATACTTTTACCTTTAATGTCTCCTTGAAATCAAAATTACTTGAAATAACCGTTAAAAATGTACAAAAAGCACTAAAATAACTGAAAATAGAGGGAAAAAGCGCAAAATTCTACTGCATTCTACCCCCCTTAAAGAAAACGAGTTACGTCACCGTAACTCAACATACCTCAAACAATTCAGGGTATTTCTTTTTCATTTCATCCTCGGCTTCTAACGTAGCTTCCTCATATTCTAAGTTAGACCATAGCACTTTAACAATCTTAACTTCCTTGTTGCGTGTACAACGCACTTTACTGTCAAGGATCTTGAAAGGTCTTTCCTCATAAGTTAAGCTTTGATCTAACTCGATTGTTTTAGGTTGTAGCACATGTGACTTATCAGATATATACCTTCTTAACTATGACACATGAAATACATCATGCACTTTATTTAGTTCAATAGGTTAGGCCAACCTATAAGCTACTTTGTCTATCCTCTATAATATTTCATATGGACCAATATACTTTGGGCTAAGTTTTCCTTTCTTCCCAAATCTCCTGACACCTTTCATTGGTGATACTTTTAACAATACTTTGTCACCAACTTCAAACTCTTCTTCCCTATGCTTAAAATCTGCATAACTCTTTTGACGATCTTGTGCTGCTTGAATCTTAGCTTGAATCTCTTTTACCTGCTTAACTGTATCTTCAATCATTTTGAGGCCCTAAGATCATTGTTTCACTTATGGTGTTCCAACATACAGGACTGCGACACTTCCTTCCATATAATGCCTCTAATGGAGCCATGCTAATGCTTGCATGGTAACTATTGTTATGCAAAAATTCAATTAAGTCCAAGCTATCTTCCCATCCCCCTTGAAAGTCTATGGCACAAGGTTTGCATGGTTCTCTCAGTTTGTCCATCTATGGCAGGGTGAAATGCTATACTCATCTTTAGTGTTTTACCAAAGTTTCCCTGCACGCTCTTCCTGAACTTTGAAAGAAACCTAGAATCTCTATCAAATATAATATCCTTTGGAACTCCATGTAACCATATAACATTCTTGATGTAAGCTTTTACAAGTTGCTCCATATTTCAGGTCTCCTTCATTGGTATGAACACTACAGATTTAGTAAGTCTATCCACCACGACCCAAATGGTATCATTTCTACTCTTTGACTTTGGGAGGCAAGTCACAAAATCCATCGAAATGCAATCCCACTTCCATCCACGAATTTCTAATGATTGCACGGTTCCTTGCGGTCTCTTGTGCTCTACTTTCACCTTTTGACAAGTTAGACACTTTCTACAAATTCCGCAACTTCATTCTTCATTCTAGGCCACCAATACATCTTTTTCAAGTGTTTGTATAGCTTGTCCCCTCCTGGGTGTACTGAGTATGGTGTATTGTGACCTTTTTCCATTAATTTTCTCTTTACTTCTTCACATTTTTGTGGTACACACCATCTACCCTTGTACCTTAAACTTCCATCTTCATGAATTCTGAAATCTCTAGCCTTTCCTTGCTTTATTTTCTCACGAATCCTATCCAACTTCACATCTCCTGTCTGATTTTCTCTTATCTCATCAAATATTGTTGGTTGGATGCTTAGGTTCATAAGTATACCTCCTAGTACTCCGCATTCTACCACTTCTTAATTCATTTTCCTCATTTCGCTACATAACTCATCATCCACTATCAAAGTGTTCATTCCATGACTGGTCTTACGACTTAGAGCGTCCGCACTATATTTTCTTTCCCTTCATGGTATCGTATGTCCAAGTTATAGTCCATTGCAAATTCTAACCATCTCCTTTGGTGTGATTTTAGATATCTTTGGGTGAAAATGTACTTCAAACTTTTATAGTCTATTAAAAACCTACATTTTACCCCATACAAGTAACGCCTCCAAATCCTTAGTGCAAAAATGATTGCAGCTAATTCTAAGTCATGAGTAGGGTAGTTTACTTTATGAGGTTTCAACTGTCTTGATGCATATGCAATCACCTTTACATTTTACAAAATCACACATCCTAGACCATTCTTGGATGCATCACTATATAAATCATAGATTCCATTATCATCTGTAAATGTAAGTACTAGTGCTGTGATCAACTTTTGCTTCAAGAGTTGAAACGCTTCCTCACACTTCTCATCCCACTCGAATCTCTCGTCCTTCTTCATTTGAGAGTTTATAGGCTTAGAAATATTAGAAAAGTCCTGAAAGGAATGGTATCGTTCCAACATGTGTATTATTCCGATAGAGGGTTCAGAATTACCGGAAAGCTAATTCTTCAGTAAGGTCAAGTGATTGGAATGTCTAGGTGGAGGCCACTTTCGATCAGTAATATTAATGTTCAATTAATATTACAGCTTAATCTTGACTAAACCCTTCGGGTCGAACCCAATCAAACAACCGATCCGAGATGATGAATCAATCCAAAGGATATGATGGGTCGTCGAAGTTTTACGAACAAAGACGTCGGATATCGAGCTTAGAGCGTCGAGATCGAGCGTCGCAAATCGAGTCAAATTTAGAATTCGACGAAACGTAAAATCAATCGAGTTACAAGTACGTTCCTAGCCGTAGCCTCGCATTGGCCTTGCCATGTGAGTGCTAGGTTAGGCAAGCCCCATCGCAAGCCTAGCATGATAGGCGTGCTAGGCTTATGTATGATATGCGCGGTGCTGTGCGCTAGCAGCCCTACTAGCATGCTAGGCAATAGCAGCGCCTAGCTATCGCAGCCATCGCATAGCAGCGTGCTCAGCGTGCAAGGCTGTGCGTGGTGCTACGCTATTGCGCGCCCCAGCAGCCAGCCTCTTGCAAGCACGCAGCATCGCAGGGCTGGGCCTTGCTAGCAATGCGTGTTGTGCATGCGAGAGATGGGCCAAGCACATTGCGAGGATAGTGGTGGCGTGGGCTAGCAGCCTTGCCAGACAGCGCCCATCACACGCCATTCCACAGCAGCAGCTCGTGGTGTAGCTTGCTGGCTGTGCGCATGCTTGTGCTTGCTGGCTTGCTAGGACAACCTAGGCCACAAAGTTCAAGTCATGGACATGATTTGTGTTCCAAACCCTTTAGCAATGTCACTAACAACAAGAACGTACTCAAGGCTCTATTAGATAGAATCTTGATAGATGATCTATTCAGAATCGTTCTAAGACAAGCAAGTCTTACTTGTTGAAATCGAGCTTAGAGCGTCAAGATTGAGCGTCGCAAGTCGAGTCGAATTTAGAATTTGACGAGACATAAAATCAATCGAGTTAATAGTACGTGCAATATCTAAGATTTCAAGGGCTTTTTTCACATTGATGGGAGATAAGAGTTGGAAAAAATGAAAAATGGAATAAAATGCAATAGCTCGCATATACGAATGCACAACCAGCAGGCCACACACGCAATGCGGGTTGCTAGGGCTACTTTATTTCTTTTGCTAGGCCGCGCCCATCTAGCTGCTGCGACCATGCGCGAGGCTCGGAGAGCATATGCTTGCTACTGGCCTTGCGATAGTGCAGCGCTGGTTGCTGGCTTTCCTAGCAAGCGGGAACGGCCATGCTAGCCTTGCGATGCGCGCAAGGCTTGCTTGGCCAGTATGCTCAGCCATGTTAGGGACGCTGATCTTGCCGCAATGGCCCTTGGCTAGCCATGCTAGCCATCTTGCCCTAGCAATGGATTATCGTTTGGTTGATTTTTCCGTCTCGTCGATTCCTAAATTCATCTTGACTTACGACGCTCGGTTTCAACGCTCTAAGCTCGGAATTTGACGTCTTTGTTTGTAGTACTCTATTGACTCATTTAATCCTTCGAATTAATTCGTCGTTTCAGTTTGGTTCCACGATTGGGTGTGACCCAAAGGGTCAATCAAGATTAAGCTATATTATTAATTATGCATTAATATTACCGATCGGGAGCGGCCTCTACTAGGCATTCTGTTCACTTGACCTCTCTTAATAACTAGCTTTCTAAATAATTTTGGACCCTCTATCGAAATAAAACACTTGTTTGAAGGACAACAATTCTTTCATTCATCAATCATAATGGCATTAATGTGAACTCATAATGCCCTTACCTTGTTCTAAATGCAGTCTTTGGAATATCTTCGTCTGCGATCCTCAACTTTGTAGGGCTTTGTGGTGTTCGATACCGCACGGAAACAAAACTTGGTAACCGCAACGCATGCATGATAATTACAACATTAAAAAAAAGCATGTAAATAAACAAAATATACGAGAAGCAAGAAATAGAATATTAACCCTAGAAGCGTGCTTCACTCAACCAATGACCTCGGACTTGAAAGCTTCAAGTTCCGCAAGTGCAAAAACCTCCGACGGCTCACACCCTTGCTACCAAACCGTAACTGGTCCCTACCATGTAGCATAGACAAGGTTAGAAAAAAAATAACTTAGAGTTTATGAACAATGGTTTTCTCCCTCTTAGAGATCCCTTAGTGTTCACCAACGCAAGTGAATTTCCCAATACCTAATGATTGGTATTTATAGGGAAAATTTCCCAAGGATTCCCATCATCAATCAATGTGGGATTGTTGGTAAAGTTAGAAAAAACATGAATTAATTTAATTCTAAATTAATCAAAAGGCATGTACAATAATCAAATGACAACTGTCCACACACCAGAGAGAGTAGGTGGGAGGACTACCTTGACCTTGGAGAATAAGGTAAGGGGCTGCCCGAACTACCCCAGTTTACAAAGGGCTGCTGCCCGGCCTTGGGAAGCAAGGCTGGACTTACTGACAGCCTTGCGCCACAAGGATCGGCCTGCTAGCCTTTGCCTTAAGCCCACGCCTACCGCAAGTAATCAATAGCAGCATAGGCCTAATAGCAGCAGCGTGGCCCTAACAACATCATGTAAGCGCCAACCTTGCGATGGTTGCGGTGGCTTAGTTGATTTAGTGCTTGCGGCCCTAGTCATTTGCCTTCGATCCGAGGCATGGTTAGGGCTCGTGCTATGCCTGTAATTTTAGCACAATACGTCATTTGATTATTTTCTCGTCTTAATCGATTCCTAGAATCGACTCGACGCTCAACGCTCGGCTTCAACGCTCGAAGCTCGGAATCCGATGTCTTAGTTTATAAAATCTCTATTGACTCATTTAATCCTACAAAATAATTTGTTGCTTCAGTTCGGTTACACGATTGGGTGTGACCAAAAGGGTTCAGTCAAGATTAAGCAGTAATTTTAATTATACATTAATATTACTGATCGGAAGCGGCCTCTAGAGAGGCATTCCTATCACTTGACTTCACTGAATAATTAGCTTTCCTAATTAATTCCGAACCCTCTATCTGAATAATACACTTGTTCGAAGGACACCATTCCTTTCAATCTCCCACTTGTCTCTTTCTGAACAATAAGGTAAGATTCATCGTTATCCTAATTACTTCCAGAAGTGTTTGTCGATTTTCGAGATCGGCTGTCAATAAGCAAATGATTTCTAAAATCCATCTGAGCACGACCATGCATTTTTACAGTCTCGCCCTTCGAGAGGCTTTGTAAACAACAAAGACATGTTCCCTAATATTAATAGGGGGACATTCCATGTCTTACATTGTTATCATCCCTTACTCCGAGGCCCTAGCCGCCCGAGTGTTGCCTTTATAGTCCCCTTGTCAGAAGACGTTTGAAAACATCAAAACGGACTAGTACTCAAACAAGAGAACTTACAATACTTATGGTTGAGGAAAGAGGTTCCTAT